GAGGTGGAAAAAAAATGAAACTTTGATGTTGGATTTTACTGATAAGATAGATCTGTTGTTATAGAAATGGGTGGTTTACACCAGTGGTCTCCAACCTTGGCAACTTTAAGACCTGTGGACTTCAACTCCCAGAGTTCCTCAGTTGGCTGAGGAACTCTGGGAGTTGAAGTCCACAGGTCTTAAGGTTGCCAAGGTTGGAGACCACTGGTGTAAACCACCCATTTCTATAACAACAGATCTATCTTATCAGTAAAATCCAACATCAAAGTTTCATTTTTTTTCCACCTCAAGCACAAAATCCAGAAGCGGTTTCCAAGTAGACACAAAAATGCTTTTTTTTTTCCTTTTATCAAGGCAGTCAGTTTAGCTATCCCTGCTAACTCTTTTGCATCATTCATCCATTGTGGGGCTGAATCATACATCTCATGTATGGTCGTCCTATTCCATTTTTCCCTCCTTCCATCTTTCCCAGCATTCTGGGCCTTTACCTAATATGCCTGAAGTAGGTTAATTTGAGCCTGGTCATTTGTGTCTCAAGTGAGAACTCTGGGTTGATTTGTTTGATCAAGGAGTTGTTACCCAATTGTAATTTCTGGATGACAGAAGGGGGAGGGAGATATATCCTTGTTGTAGCTAATTTGCTTTACCATGAGCAGAGGGGAGAGGGGGGGTTTCATCTGTGCCTGCATATGGCTGAAACAGCTGCCTGTACAGTTTGCAGTTTGCAGACAGTTGCCCCCAGGGAAATGTTTGATGGACTGGCAGGGAATGAGAAAGGGATTTCTTTAATGGGATCATCTCCTTTTCTCTAGCAGTCTTAATTTTGTTGGTCCCTTCAAATCAGTCTTGACTACTGCCAACTGCCTGCACGAGTCCCTGCACTTTTCTTGGCAAGATTTAGAGAATCAGTTTGTCTTTCCCTTCTTCCTAAGGTTAAGAGCGAAGAACAAGATCACCCCACTGACTTTGTACCTAAGGTAGAGTAGAACTCATTCCTGGTTTCTAGCTTGGTTCCATCAACCGCTACACTAAACAAGCTAGTTCAGCTATCTTGATGGAATCAGTTGAACCACTGCCAAGGTTCGGGTTCCACCAGAAGTCCTCCAATCCTTCCAGTGGTGGATGTCCCGGGCCATAACCAAGGAATGTGCCTTCAAGGAACCAAACTGTCTGACCATCACCACAGAGGCCAGCCTCTTTGGCTGGGGTGTCCACTTCCAGTCCCAGATGGCATAGGGGCAGTGGACTCAGGAGGACCTGAGCAACAACATCAACTAGCTAGAGCTCAAGGCAGCTCACTTGGCCCTCAGACAGTTCCAGGACACGATCTCTGGCCACCATGTACTTATTCTGATGGACAATGTAGCCACCAAGGACCATATCAACCACCAAGGGGGCACCCATTCTAGGTCCCAGAGGCCGAGCAATTGGGCCTCTGGGAGGAGAGACATCTTCTATCCTTAGAGCGGAGCGTATCTCAGGAACAATGAATGTACAGGCGGACTGGCTCAGCAGAACCACAATTGACCACTCAGAGTGGCGCCTGCATCCCGACCTGTTGTGGCCCAGCAGGAGCCGTTGGAGCTGTAAACAGACTCCAACCCATAAGGGCCCTTATGAGTCGGCTCTGGA